AACTACGTATAAGTTCCCATGTGATTAAATAATACAAATCGTTCCTTTCATCAGTGGACAATGGTGTTTTTTTTGTTGGATTTTAACTGTTATCTGCGTGCGACAACTTGAYYGTTATWTAYTTTATTGARTATTTAAACAACATACAATCATGATGTGTGAGCATATTATTACAATTGTGAGAAAGGTTATTTTTAGAAAGAAAAGGGGGTTTTTATTTTGTAGTATCATTATATACGTTTGAATGGCATGTTTGTTAGATTATATAGTAAGTTAAGCAGCGTGGAATCAAAAATTGTGTTTTTTTATGAACGTGCGGGTACTGTAAAATAAATTAGGAGGGGAGGAGAATCATTTTTAAAGGTGATGTGGCTTTTAAGAAAGGTGTTACGAGAGTTTGCCAAAGACCACCAAGTGAAGCTAGGTATTAATGTTTGTGAAGTATTGATGAATAGTTATGAGGAGATTATTTTWAATTTATGAATTGCAAAACTTAATAACTACTACGGCATTACTTAATTCTATATGGAAGGCAATCCATATATTATAATCATATAATTAATCGGAGGAAACTAGTGTATGATCTAGATATATAGGACGGAGGYGATTTGTTTATTTTGGTAGGCAACTGTCAACTAATATAATATGAACCGTGAAGTTTATATGCTGGTTGAAGAACAAACATACCTTGCTATTCTATTCCAATTTACAAGTTTAACCTAAACCCATTGTAAAAATGCGATTGTCTGAAGAATTTATCTTCGCATTGTATTTTTCCAATTTTTTTAAACTTTAAAGTTTTAGTGAAAATTGGCATTGGTTTACTTATCGCGCTTTGGGAACTGATTTGATCGGGATGGCCATTAGGTGACATCCTCTTGGTGTAGTTTGGATAAATCACTTGGCATATATTTTTAGCGTGGTCAGAACTGTTCTCAAAACGTTTATGATATCTCAAAGAACAATCTTTGAAATTTCATCAAAATAGGCCAATTATAGTACCTTTTAAGTCTATAATATCCAAACGTACAGACATTGCTTTTTGTTACCTTCATTTGAATAACAAATCAATAATAATTAATTTAATATCACGTATTTTGTTTGAAAAAAAAACCTTCACAACGCACAGCGAGTTACTAGTCTATACCAATTATTGTTTTATTATTTTATTTCTGATAAACCTAAATATACGAAGTGGGACATTTCGCCGTGGCCCAACTCGGTAATTATCTGCCGTAGAATATTAAAGAATCGTAGGTACTTGATTAAATCTCTGACCCCTCTCTCTCTTTAAGTTGTAAATTTACACATTAGATGTTTTGTAAATTGCTGGGATTTAAAAACATAATATTTGATTAATCGGCAAACACAAAAAAATAATTGAAAGATGTTTTTAATGCAATGTCGATATACAYTACATGTGAAATGAGCAGTACCATATAAATTATAACCGTGAAAACCATAGCTTTGCATCGGGCTAKAAAGAGTTTCTTAAAAAACAAGTCAATACGTAACGTTCAAAACCTTGGAGGCGTACACTGGCGTAGTCTGAACTCTGAAGAATAATATTAGTGGGAATCAATAATAATAATAAATTTAAACATACATTGTGAAAATAAGGAAAATATACACGTATAACACTTAATATGAGATCGGAGAAAATGAAACCATAATAATATTATTATATGAATTAAAATTATTCAAATTTTGCTTTGACGTATCGTGAAAGATTAAAAAGTTTTGTACATACAACGTATTTAAAAATACTGTAGACTATGAAAACGACGAGGGATATGCATGCTACCGTGAAACCTATCACGTCCAATAGGTAATATTGATACCACGACAAATTGAGCGCATGAGACTTCAAGTGTGGCGCTCCATGGTGACGTAGGATGTACTCCGTCCAGTAAACGACCAACGATTCCGGTGATATGGGTCGATCATTGAATATTTTCATGGCGTTTTTAGCGTTCRTTGAGTATCTATAAGTAAATACAATAATAAAAAATAACAATAATTAGGGTTAATRTAAATGCATATTATTTTATTATATAATTTTCTAAATATAACCATATTTGTTTTAAATTTGTAAATTAATAAATCCATGTTTAAGCAAATATTTTGYATAAACTATACAGTTTCTGTTTCCACCTAACCTAACCGTGTTGAGGAAATATTTAGGGGGAGGCTCTCATAGCCCCTAAGACCTCTAGTCGTTGTAGGAATATAGAACTACAATATGGAAAATTAAGATAAACGACAAGATATCGATTGAATATGAGGTGTAAAATATTATTTCTTTGACAATCGTTCACAATCGTGTTACATCGTTAATGTGTGCCATGGTATTACTCTACAAATTTTCAAAAATGTTGAAATTTTTTGAAAATCATAGACACGGCTATTGACCTAAATAACCCACCTATATTATAAACTTATGCTCAGCACTCAGCAGAACAGTTAAGATCACTTCCTAAATCCCTTCTCTTTAGTTACATTTAAATTCGTGCCTTATTTTTATTACAGAAACATGCAGTGGATCGTAAGTTTAATTAATCGTGAACGTTTTATAATGTATTTTCTTCTAGTAGTTTTCGACTTACTTGTTGTTGTTGAGCAGTTCCAAGATATTGTTTAAGAACGAGTCTTCGGTGACAGACAGTATGTCCATCGAAATCGCCATGCCGGCGTTAACCAGATTGTCAATATTTCTCGGCTGGTCGAAGATCAAAGGAAATCCGAGGACWGGAACACCGGCGTCCACGGCTTCATAGATCCCAGATATTCCTCCATGGCTAATGAAAAGTTTCACATTGGAGTGCACTGCAACGACAAGTAAGAAAAGTGTTAATGTGTTATCAATTAACCATCAAATAATTGATGATTTGTGACTTTGGCGATTTGAGTTCATGTGACAATGATGGTATTATGAAAATAATATTATATATTTAAATATTTACAAAGTATATCACGTTGGGGAAGCCACTGTTTCATCATAATATTTTTTGGTTTGTCTTCCATTTCATCTTCATATTTCAATAACACTCTTTGCGGGACTCGTTCAAGTGCCTTTAGCAACGCTTTTTTTATGTTTTCCGGTATTGTAGACATTTTTACGGTTGAACCAAAACTGAAAAAAATTACTCCATGAGGTGATTGTTCGATAAATTCTAATACATCCTGAAATAAAAAAATTATATTTATTCAGATAATATGTAAAACAAAACAATCTGTCAATCAACAAATTATTGCTGCCTGGGATAACTATATGATGATATTATGTACATAATTGTAAGAGGCGTGGGTAGTGTAAGTGACATGAAGACGAAGTAACCTTTTAGTTAATATCTCGTTTAAATAATGTTTTAAATAAAAATGTATTTCAATTATTACAAAATTTACAATTATAGCTGTATAAATGATTTTTTCTTACGTATTATTATTTATAGCGATTATATGGTCAAGATTTGATATGGTAGTGTTTAGCACATACGGTTTTTAGAGGAAAGAATGTAGACATTTAAGACATAGTGGACGTATTTTAACGTAGTTCAGAGAATGAAAAATTTGAAAAAATAATTATACGTATTTAAAGATTGTTTCAATCTTATTGATCAGGCTATTATTAGTATGGGTATGCTAAAAAATTGGGTCTAGTAAATTGCTAAAAAAGAGAATGATATTATAATAAACATGTAAATATATGATAATAAATAATAATATTATTATGCTCGTTGATCACCAATTTTGAGTACCTACGTTCAATTGTATTCCACTAATTTTATGCTTAGTCTTTACTCACTTTTGGCAAACTTTTGGCCGCTTTCAGATGTATTCCACCCACGTCGACGACGTTCTTGGGCACCGCACTCGGGGCGTCGCTAATGAAATGCCTGTTGACGAACACCAAAGACGGCGGTACGGAATCGTGTTGATCGTACTGTTTGGACGGTTCGGTGTACTTGAACACGAGTTCATTGTACCGTTGTACCGCCGTGCCATAGACCAGTAACGCCGMGTTGGTCAGCCTTTCCACGAACGTTTCGGGAAAGGCGTGCATGGTCAAAACGTTGGAAACGGCGGCGGGGTTGGACACGTGACCAGTAATGGCGTGCTCCATGAACGCGATCTGCGACGTTGGCATGACGTAGATGAGCGGCAATCCGAGCCGAGCGGCTGCGTACGACATGCACTCGGACCAAAACGGTTCGATGAGCACAGCGTCAAACCCCGCGGCCGACGACTGTGGTCGGTCCTGTTGCAGCAGTTTTCTCATCTCGTCGTTGCCGTACACCAAGTCGCACTGCATCCTACCAATTCCTACGAAATCACTGTACATCCTAAACGGGTTGCGGAAGTTCTCCACGAGCCAGACCAAGTTTAGGTCCAGGCTGGCCGTAAACCCTTTGGATATGTCCACTTCCGTGTAGTTTTCCCGGCCACCTTCCAAGAAGGGCGTGAACGCGGTGACCGTATGCCCGTTGTCCACCAAGGCCTTGATAATGCCACTCATGAAGTTCCAGTGGCTCCTGGCGCACATCGTCTCCACGGCCAATATCCTGGCGCATTCCATRGGAACGGGTCCTGGCCACCCAGCCAACGCGACGATTATCAACGCAGCGGTGCCCGAGACCAACGGCATTTCGGTGCGCATCGTCCGATTTATATTATTATTATGTGGACCCGCGACGGCGATTTCCGGATAGAAATTGAATAGAAAATCGCAATAATCTGCGAGGTTAGTATATAATCGTGTTTTCCGGTTGCGGTCGACCGATTGAACTTCAGACGTATCCGTACGATCGATGCGTAATACGCATTGCGTATAAATGGAWAGCGATCGGTGTATTGGTGCGTGAATCGTACGAAGGCGCCGTTTTTAAACCGATCGAGCGTTTTTTGATATTAGAATTTGCCATCATCGATAGTGCTGCTAATCAACATGAATCATATGCTTTAGTTGAAATATGTACCGTGTATATATAGGTACTTTTATGACACTTCAGGCGGAGATAACAGTATGAAATAATGTTGCGATTTTCGAACACTCAAAGTTCGAGTTTGTTTTTTTATACTTATATATTACGAATTTATGAATTACCGGTATTAAGATATAGGCTTATCGTTTTACGTCAAAATTGCGGTCACTGAACTCTTGAATTATAGATAGTGAAAATAATGCAACTGAAAACGCACGCGTATGATACATATCCATGTGAAACGGCCTTTAGATATAAGTGTTTGTTTTTATTTTTCATGTGCTCAGACTACATTCAATCATTCAACTATGTTAAGTATATAATTTTTATTTATGTGATAAAGAATAAAGGACAATACTTTTAGTCGTTATAGATACTAAGGTCTAAGAGTGCTTATCAAAAGAAACTAAAGCTAATAAATTTCATCTTTCGAAATGTTTGAAATATATTTAGAAAACCAGTGGAGCATATATAATGTGTATGTTACATTATTCAAAGAAGTACACAGTTGAAATTTCATGATACCAATTTCATGGTACGGACTACGGATAATGTACATAATAATAAATAATATTATACATATTACAATATTTATGAACACCAACCAGACACCAGTTACCGCCAAAATCGTTCAATTGTTTTCTTTTATAAATTCATTATTTACATAACTTCATCAGTGATCCAGTGATTGTTATTCAGTAAACAGAGACGTTTAAATACGTTTAGAAATACTAATCTAAGGAACCATTGTATAGTGTTATTCGGTATTCGCTTATTTTTATCACATTTTTTTTACACATGTATTCTAGTATTCGTGTTTGAACGTGTGATTTCAAAGTAAAAAAAAAAAAAAAATCAAAAATGCGTAAATTAGTGAATGCTACTTGTTTTATTGGTTGTGTTACTGCTGTGTTACTAATGTTACTGATTGTGTCCTAAACTTTTTTAAACCATGGAATAATTGGGTATTGGGTAATTATATAAAAATATATATATAGGTATAATCTATAAGAAAAAATAGTAAAATTAATTATTATTGACAACAATTTATTTTTTGACCTGTATAATATGTTCATTGTTTATGATATTTTATGTTGACGACAAAAGACTTCTATAAAATGTTGACCKAAAACGATTACAGATTAAACTTAGACACACTTGTGCGTTTACCAGAGCCTTTAGGGCAAATTTTTTTAGATCCRTAAACGGTAATTCTAATTTTTTAGTTGGTACATTTTTGAGACCGTCTCCGCCCAATAATAATATGGTGCTCTTAGAATCAGAATCTAAATAATAATTAATATAATACATCTTTAAAAATTATAATTTTATTAAATACTTTATAATTAGATATATGCTTATTTAAAATATTATAATATTATACACACTAAAAAATAAAAATACACTGAACGCTAAGTTATACAAAGTTCACTTTCCTTGCTTTATTTCTCGCAAATTAATTTATTATTTCATTGTAGTCCAAGTTTGAAGCTATGTCTTCTTCAATAGATAATATTGCAAGTGAAGTTAGCCTATTACTTTGCACATAATTACAAGTCACTATAATGTTATAATGTTAAATTGCCTATATCAAACTCCTTAAAATACGACTGACTGCTGCCTCCTTAAGAGGACGCCACACCAGCGAAAACACCGTACAAAAACATGCCAATTTTGTTGGAATAATACGGCTTACAGAATTGTTTTAGAGCTAAATACCTTAATTAAAAGTTGTAGAGGAGAGTTATATCGGGTGACGTATAAGACTTGATTTTTGATATTTTATATTTTTTATACCAATTATTCACAAGTAAAAAAGTGAAAAAAACAGAAAACGCAAAACGATTTTATCGATTTTGAGAATGAAATATCAAAAATCGAGTCTTATACGTCACCCGATATAACTCTCCTCTACAACTTTTAATAAAGGTATTTTGCTCTAAAACCATTCTGTAAGCCGTATTATTCCAACAAAATTGGCATGTTTTACGGTAAAAAAATTGTAATTACGGCCGTCATGTGCTGCTTTCGTTTCTAGCGGCAGCGTTTGTCCCCTCCTAGTTCCGACATTCACGCTCGCGGGCAAGACAAAACCGGTCGGTCTGTTATCGGCGGTCCGCGCTCCGCACATCGTTGCCATTAATTTTATAAATACCTATTGTGTTCAGATTATTATTTACGTAAAATGAAACAAAATAAAATTATGCTCGATTTATTGCGCTGCCCGCGACCGTCCTTGCATAACCTATGACGTGACAGCCGCGACTATGAGTAAAAACTTATACTTTTTGAATAATAACAAATATTTAAAATCGTTTCAGGATAAATCGTTATCKTAACRCTATTTCGTAAAAATTTAAAATTCAAACGCACCTCAAATTTTTCCTAWAATGACGCTTTGAGATTTCTCTATAGCTACTTGAAGGAAAACTTATGGAAAACTTAGTGTTGTATTTTTAATCCTTAGTTATAAAC